TATTAATATTTTATTATTTGGTGTAAAATTTGATGGAATTGGTGGGAGACCAAATACACTATTTTGTCACAAAAAATAGAAAAATTATAGAATGGCGTGTTACGGGTGGGAGATAACACCATTTTTTCACCACCAAAAATAGGATTTAGTGAAAAAATGGTGTTAAGGGTGGGAGATGCTCTAATGACAATGCCTAAAATGATATATTTAAATTTGTAAATAAAATATACATATGACAATGTAACACATAATATAGAGGGATGTGATATAGGATCGACATATGCAATGCAATAAAGAAAAACAATATTTTTCAAAACTATAAAAACGAAATAAATTTAAAAACTCGAACTTATTCAAAAAAAAAACATGTATAAAATTGTGTGCCAATTTTCTATTTATTATTATCAACATTATGTACAAAAAGCAGAGCATGTTGGTATGACGAAATTATGAATTGGCTGGATTTTGTCCAATAACTAACAACAATTTGTTATGTAAAAATCACGTACAAAAAACTCACTTTTATTGCACTAATCTCTCACACACTGTGATATTCTATTATATTTTATATTGTAATTCATGTTTTATTTTATTTAAAATAAGTGTGTGTATGAATATATTGATGATGTCATTAATATACATACACCGTTTATCAATAAATGAAATACAATTATATAATACATAGATGAAATAAATATTCATCGCATTGACTAAAAAAAGTGAGGATTATATTAAATTAATTTCCTCTTTTTATCACAACCAATTTTATCCACATTAATTAGAGCCCTTTCTGATTTGATTCGTATAGAATCACATTTTTTTAGTGATTAAATAAAGAATTACTCTTAATTGTGAACAAAATTTGATTGAATATATTAAAGTACTAACTAATTACAATGCATTGGGTTATTTAAAAAAAAAAGGAAGAAGAAATTAAGATGAAACAAGGAAAATTGACATCCAATCACTACATGAACAAAATTAATTTTTTTTAGTTAACGTTTGTTCTATGCTAGACAAAAAAAATCAAAATATCATAAAAAGTAAAAGATGTTAAACATAAAAAGAAATCCGAATAGAATGTGCTACACAAAATTCGAATATATTTGTCGAATACTAAGATCAAATAAAATATAATATAACATATTGAGGTCAAATGTTTTTTTTTAGTTAGATTATACGAGATAGGATTGATAAAAATCAACCGACTCCGATATAGCTAAATATCCATTTGCAATATCTTTTTTTTTCTCTATTTTGTGGTTATTGTCAGCACTCGAGTGGGAACTATTGAATTCAAACAAGTTCATATTTTGTTATAGAAATTCTAATAAAGAAGTGTTGTATTAAAAGAAAACATTAATTTAATATTAATTTCCATTTATTATGAATGTATAAAGTCTCATCGCCATCTTTGCATTATTTTATTGTATATAGTTTTTTTTTTTTATAAAGTCCATAATGAACTTGATATTCATGACCGATGATTGGAAAATAATTGTTAGTACTGAAATGGTCTTAATTGATGAGGAGGTTGTGAATGATTTGTCATGTTTTTATATGGAAATATATATTTGGTACCTCATGTTTCAATAATTTAACACTTTTGGTCATTTTCATCAATTATACCATTAGTCCGTCTGTTAAGACAATATTGGACACATGCTTGATCCTGTTATTACTGACGAAAAATTGGCGGAAATGATTAAAAAAATTGAATTCTTGAAACATGAGGGACCAAATGTGTTTTTTGCGAACATGGGGGACCAAATGTGTAATTAGTGCAAACTTTTGGGGTGAAATTTGTATTTTCCCCTATTTTTATATATTAACTTTAAGATTCATATTTTATAATATGGTGGCAAACAAGTTGCATAAAATGAAATCACTTTGAGTAAATTAGTGGAACGCATAAATGAATGTAATAGTTGTAGTTATAATATTCTAATTCATTATATTATACGCCTGATTAACTGTGTTAAAGCTACAAATATAACCAATTTCATTGGTTTTGTGCATACTTATGAAAATACTATTTTTAAAAAAGGAAAAATACAAATTTTATCCCTCAATTTTGCATCGGGTTCACATTTGATCCCCATGTTCACAAAAAACTCATTTGGTCCGTCATGTTTTAAAAGGTCAACTCTTTTAGTCATTTCCGTCCATTTTCCGTTACTAATAACGGACGCAAGCATGTGCCAACACTGGATAATTGACGGATTAACGGTAAATTGACCAAAAGTGTTAAATTATTGAAACATGAGGGACCAAATATGTTTTGGCGCGGCTATATGCAATACTAATTCCACTTGTGCAAGACCAAATTAAAGAAAGATTCCAAAAGATTCCATTTTATTAAGATGAAATGACAAATATAGCCATAAATTAAATTGTTTTTTGTATGCTCATGTAAGACCAAATAACAAATAATGAAAAAAAAAAAACAAAGAAAATGTTACTTTAAAAAAACCCAGCCCTCCACGCCCAAGCTCCGCCGCTGACCGCCGCTCTTGATGCTACGTTCTTTATATCTTGTACATATATATTTTTGAAACCTTTGATGAATTTGGACGATAAACTGCGTCTTCGCATTCTCCTTTTGCTATAAAAATAAATGAATATTGAATTAAAAAGTAATTGGAAAATAGAAATTTAAAAAAAATATGTAACAACTAAATTTCGACATTAAAGTGTCGAATATATGTCAATAAATTCGACACCATAAGGGGGGTGTTTGTAATTTACCCTAATAATAATAATAATAATAATAATAATAATAATAATAATAATAATAATAATAATAATAATAATAATAATAATAATAATAATAATAATAATAATAATAATAATAATAAAAAAAAAAAAAAAAAAAACAGAGGTGTTGCAACATCGATTAAAACGGGATAGGAATGCGGTGAAGTGGTCGGCTCCTGAGGAAAATGTGGTTAAGATAAATTTTGACGCGACAATCAATAGCGTGGACGGAATATGTGGACTTGGAGCTATAAGTAGATTGAGTTCCGGCGTTTGTGTTGTGTGGAAATCCCGATGCCTAAAATGCAACCATTAAACCCCACATCGGCGGAGGCAAAAGCAGCTATTTTGGCCATGGAAATGACATGTGAAAATAATTGGTAGCGAGTTATCCTTGAAGGCGATTCATTGGTGGTCACGAGCAGATTATGGTCATATTATTGATGATATTCAGTAGTTGGGAAAGACTTGTGTCGAGTTTAAAGCTCAACATATTTTTAGGGAAGGGAATCGAGTGGCACATGAAATAGCAACGTTGTCAAAATATAAATCGCGTAGTTGGGCTGAGTTACATGCTAGGATCCAGTCATGTGTGTCTTCTGAGATGTTTTAATGAAATCTAATGTGTTTTTTTTGTCTAAAAAAGAAATAGTGGATTTCAATTTGTTCAAAACGGTTGACTTTTTTAAATTTAACTTTAAGAAACGGAAGTATAAAAAATAAAAAATCGAAATTAAAAAACTGAAAAATAAACTTTAAAAAAAAAATCAAATTTTATTATGAAAATTCGAAAATAGGAAAACAAATAAAAACCAGATTTTTAGAATTGATTTGGGAGGGCTATATTGGGCATAAAATCTAAAGCGTGATTTGGGGGCATAATATTTGGAGAAGATTTAGGTGTAGATTTGGGGCAGGATTTGAATATATTACCATAATTTTTTTTTTAATTTATTGGCATAATTAATTTGGGCATATAAGGTATTATGGATTGATTGGGTTTATAGCAAATAACAATTTAAAAATAGATTTTCAAGAAGTCAAAATTGAAAAAGGGGGTTTTATCGTATATCCCTTTTAATTTAATCTCAATTTGACCCCAAATGTCACAAATTATTCAATTTTCACTGAAAACACAATTTTGAGTACAATTTCGTCCGTCGCCGCCATTGATCGCCAGTCACCGGCGTTGACTTTTTTTTTTCTTCTTCCTGATTTTCCGCCGGTTTCCAGCGTTTACTTTTTCGATTTTGTTTTTAATCTTTTTTCTTTAACATATTTTTGTCCCCAGTTTAAACATTAATATTGTTGTGGTTGACAGTAATATTAACTATATTACTGTTAAACACAATAATATTAACTATACTGCAGTTTAGCACAATAATATTGTTATATTAATTTCTAGCACAATAATATTAACCCAACAAAAGTCATTATTATTGTATAATATTGTAATATTAATATGTTGGTAAACATAATAAAAAAACCAAAATAATTAAATTGGAAATGTGGGGTGACAGTAATATTTACTGTAACAACAGTAATATTACCGTCAACCACAATAATATTATTGTGTTTACAGTAATATTACAATAGTAGACAGTAATATTATTATCTTACTGCGTCGACAACTCAAACAAAAGAAAAAAACCCATAAAAATAATAATATTGATGTAGTTGACAGTAAAAATATTATTGTGTTTACAGTTATTTTACTGTCAACGACAGTAATATTAAAAAAAAAATTAGACAGGTAAATGCAATATTAATAATTTTCCCATATTATTATATTTAAATTAATATAGATAAATACGGAAATTATAGAAATTTAAATTAATTACTATATTTGAATTACATTCCTTAACTCTTGTATAAATTTACCATTCAACACATTTACCTTCTTCATCTTTCTCACGCAATTTTTTTTTTTTCTGTATTGGAGATATGGAGAGAATTTTTTAAAGGAGTTGCATTTTTTTTTTTTTTTTTCAAGAGAACGACACCCGATGAGGGTGGGGGGTTAGGCTTGACCCCCTACCTGTTTATAAAACAAAATTTAAGAAGTACATAATGAGTTTCGCTCAATTGCTACTGCCCAACATATGACTAATAATAGCAATTGACAAACAAAAGACAATAGGTAACTAACAAAACGTTAAGAAAACGGGCAAAACAGGTGGCCCAAATAATAAAAAGGACGGGGTGGGAATGATCATAGAAGGTCGGGGAAGACCAAGGTAGACCGTTCGCCTCACCACAACAGCCGAGGCCACTTACACTTTCGCCAAAAATGGGCGAAACAGGTATAACGGCTGCGAAATGTGTGGCACCATTCGGCAAACAGTCTAGTCTTGATAGACCCAAACAATCCATAATCACCCCAACCCTTCCTAACATGTAAAGTTCACGAAAATTCCTAAATTGCCAATAATATAAAAACGTGGAATGCATGGCACCTATGTGCGAGACTGTCGTCGAAAGGATGGATATCCAAGCTGGTCCATCCGAATCATCTGCTGAATAGGTCGGGGAAGTTCCGCTGTTGTGAAGGTACGAGCCAACTCGGTCTGACACCCCAAGTTAGCTAATGCATCAGCTACTTTATTGCCCTCCTGGTAGATATGTGTAATCCTGTACTCCAAAGTAGAAAGAGAGTTCCGGATCGCCGTGAGAGAACTCTGAAGACTCCAATGACCTTGGTCCGTGTGGGAAAGAAGTCGAACAGCGACTTCTGCGTCAAGCTCGATCCAAACTCTAGTGAATTGCCTCTGAATAACAAATCGCAGCCCCGAGGCAAGGGCAGCAAGCTCGGCCGCAATACTGCTCGGGGCAGAGATCCTCTCGTGAAATGCAACTATGGCCTCAGCGTCCGAACCTCTGATAATCCCGCCAATAGCTGCAATCTGGGTGGATGCTCTACGGGCTCCGTCTGTGTTTAGCTTCACCCAACCCGGATCCGGTGGAAGCCAAACAACTCGATGAGGTGTGAGAGTTGGTGTTCTGACTCGGTAATATAGGCCAAGAGACTCAGCCACGTGGGGAATGCCAGTCCAGCTGTCCGCCGAAAGTAATTTGGTTTGGTGAAGAATCCTGATGTGCTGGATGACCCTGTAAATGATGGAAGAAGCGCGAACCGTGATATCCTTGTGCTTGCTGTCATTTCTTGCAATCCATAAGTACCACAAGATCAAGCAAGGCACAATGGTCGTGATGTGTGTGTGGTGTGTGAGTGTGTGCGAAGTGAAGTGCTGCCAATAAAGTAAAATCTGGGGTATGTGCGTAGTGTGTGCAGGTGTATAGCCAAAAAGATAGAAAAAATGATGCCATACCCTCTTAGCCGTCGGGCTCTCCACGAAGATATGATCAATCGACTCAGCAGAAGGAGACTCGACAGACTGAAATACAAGACTCGACACAGGAATAGATGGATCTGGACAACAATAGCACCTCGAGGCAAGAGAGGTACCTCGAGACTGAAGTTTGGTATCCACTGGAAGACGCTGAAGAAGGAGACGCCAAAGAAAGATAGAAATTGTAGGAGTAAGACAAGATCCCCAAAATATACGAAGAAGAGGGGTAGGGATATGCTGCTGTCGTATCAAGGCCCAAGCCGAGGTCAAGGAAAATTTGCCATCCGAAGAAGCTCTCCAAATGGGCAAATCACCCGAAGCACCAGAGATTGGGACCGAGCAAATCCTATCGATCCACTCAAAAGGAATATCCTCAGCTAGCTTGTTTCGATCCCACTGACCGTTAACCAAATAATACTCCACACGAACTGACGTTAGCCGACCACCATCAATAATGCCCGAAAGGGGACCATCGCCAAACCAGTGGTCGTGCCAGAAATAAACATGACCTGGACCAATCCGCCAAAATATTTGAGCTTGAACACGCTCTCGGACACGGCACATGCGCTTCCACACCGTGCTATAGAGTGAAGACACAACGGATGAACCTGGGAACCGATTCCAACAATACTTGTTTCGGAGAAAACGGGCCCAAAGAGAATCCTGAGCACGGAATCGGAACCAGAGCTTGTAAGTGAAGGCGTCAATCACATCCGTCAAACGCCTCAACCCCAAGCCACCCTCACCAACTGGCCGACAAATCGTCTCCCAAGCAACCCAATGAGGCCGGCGCTGATTACCATAAGATCCCCAGAGAAATCGGGCCATGCACTGCTCAATCTGCTGAATAATGTACTGCGGAGGTTGAATAACCTGAACAAGATGCAAAGCCATAGTCGAAAGCGTACTACGGATCAAGGCAAGACGGCCCCCGAAAGCCAAAGCGGTCCGAGCCCATCCCGAAATCCTGGCTTGCATGCGATCAAGCAAAGTGTGAAACAAACTGCCCCGGTCCCTCCCTTTGTATAGTGGTGCTCCAAGATAAATGATAGGAAGATCCTTTCTCGGATAACTGAGAATCCGAGAAATAGTGCGAAGATGACCATCAGAACATGCCCTATCAACTGTGAAAGTGCTCTTGTGCACACTAATCAACTGACCCGAAGTCCGACAGTAATGATCGAGAAAATCCCGCAGCTTCTTCAGTCCAAAATTATGGCACGAGGTAAATATCATCACATCATCCGCATAGGCCAAATGGGATATAGGAATGCCTCCCCTTGTAGAATAAAACATGCTTGGGCAACGGCTGTATAGTGCATCGAGACCTCTCGAAAAATACTCAGCCGCAAGTACAAAAAGAGTCGGCGAGAGCGGATCTCCCTGCCTTAGACCACGAGACGAAGTGAAATACCCCGTCAGCTCCCCGTTAATTAGTAAAGAGAACTGGCACGACGAAACACATCGCCGAATAATATCAACCAAGTTCGCCGAGAAACCCATCAGCTCGAGTACACGAAATAAGAACCGCCACTGAACCCTATCATAAGCCTTTGCCATATCCAGCTTCAAAATAAGATTCGGATTTCGACAACGAACTGATATCGAGTGGACCATCTCTTGTGCTAATAAAATATTATCACTAATGAGGCGACCCTGAACAAACCCACTCTGAGAAGGAGAAATAATGTGGGGCAAGTGAGGTGTCAGTCTGTTCGTAAGTACCTTGGTGATAATTTTATTGGTCACGTTGCACAAGCTAATCGGGCGGAAATCTGTCCAAGCCGTCAGAAAGTCCACCTTTGGAATAAGAACCAAGGTGGTAGCGGTGAAGCTCGCAGGCATAGATCCACCCTCGAAGAAATCCCAAACCGCTTCACAAACATCACACTGAATCAAGTCCCAACAATGCTGATAAAATAGCGAAGAATACCCATCAGGACCCGAAGCACTATCTCGACAAATCCCAAACACCGCATCTTTGATCTCCTCAACTGACGGACGAGTAGAGACTGAAGAAAAGTCCCTTTGAGGAGCGGAAAATAGGGACTCATCAACCGGAAGCAAACTAGGCATATCATCGGTAAGAAGCTTGCTAAAGAAATCAACGCCCGAATCCTTGATCTCCTGAGCTGATGTGAGAACCAAATCACCATGAGAGATAGAGTGGATTCGATTGACACATCGCTTTTTCTTGACTAACGAGTGGAAAAACTTAGAGTTTCTCTCTCCATCAGTCGCCCATCTACAAGCTGCCTTCTGCTTCCAAAAGTCCTCCTCAATATTGAGCATGAGAGTAAGTTCAGCAGTGGCCTTTTTCAAATTTGCACGATTCTCGGGGGATCGATCCAAGTCATATATGTGCTCGGCCTCTAGAACACCTGCCTCGGCCCTCTCTTTATTCTTGAACACGTCCCCGAAAACATTCCAATTCCACCACTGAAGCTTCTGTTTCAATCGTCTCAACTTCGTATGTAATCGATGCATCCCCGTCTGAGCACACGGAAAATCCCAAACCTGTTCCACAATCTGACGAAACGTAGCGTGGCGGATCCACATATGCTGAAACCGGAATGAAGCAGGAGGCCTAGACGAAGAAGCAGCCGATGAAACCAAAAGAGGAGCATGATCCGACCAGGTCCGTGAGAGGTGGGTAACCTGCGTAATAGGCAATAAATCTAGCCAAGCAGAGTTATATAGAATCCTGTCCAAACGCTCCAAAAGACCTGAAGGGCTCTCCCAAGTATAGCAAGAACTAGCCCCAGAGAACCCGGCATCCGAAAGTTCACAATCCGAAACCATAGCACCAAACTCAGCCATATCTAGTCTCCTATCCGAAACCGATCTATTCCGTTCTGACTCAAGTAAGATTGAGTTGAAGTCACCCCCAGAAATCCAAGGAGTGTCACCAATCGTCTCAAAAATGTCGCGGAACGAATTCCACAAAACACGACGCTCGGAACGAGAGCATCTAGCATAGACCGCAGTAAATACAAAAGGAGCACCAAATAAACCAGATATGCATCTGACATGCAATAATTGTACCTCATCCCTAAGCAACTCGACTCGAAAATTGTGATCCCAAAAAATCCAGATCTTCCCCGCACAATTAGACAAACCAGCAACGAAACCCAAGCGACGGCAATAGTAATCATGCACAAACTCAGTCATAGGTTCAGAAATAACCAATAAATTAACTCTATGTTGGCGACAAATAAAGCGCAAGTGGGATTGGGTCGCCTTATTTTTTACCCCCCCTTGCATTCCAAACCAAGAATTTACCCGACATCAAGAAGAGGGGGAATGCGACCCATCTGAAGATTTCCGAGATGTGACAAAGAATGAGTTACCAATAAGGTGGGCCTCCTCCGCATGCCAACGTTCGGCATTCTGCAAACGCCAACGCTCAGCATTAATTAGGCTCGATCGCCACGAGGCCGAAGGTTCATCAGTGATAGAGCCCGGAGTTGCATTGGCATCACCTACATGCAATGGTATGTTTCATTATAGTGCTTTTTGTAGTATATTTCTAATTTATTGCTTTATTTTGTATTTGATTCTTCATTCAATTTTATCTGCAGGCTTTGAGTAATTCTTTTGTTGAAGCTTTTGGGTTGACATGATTGTATACTATCAACTTTCGTTACGAGGGCGGAAATCATGTTCAAGTTGTTATGTGATCGCGAAAAAAACATGGGAAATATGTATATTTTACTGAATGATAAATCCATTTTTATTAATTGATATTTGTTATAGACCCAACTGACTCAAATTATCCAAAATACCCCCATTTAATATTACTAAAAGTTACCTACTCCCTATATTCCACATTAACTGTCTCTTTTTAAAAATATTTTTGTTCCATATTATCTGTCACTTTAAATTTCCAATACTGCATTAAATGGATTTTTCCTGTATTAATCTTATTAATGAAACTCTAATCATTATTTTTCTCTTATAAATCATTAAATAATTAAGGTTGTTTTAGTCATTTCTATATAATTTTTCTAAAATCAACATATA